ATTTTTTCCTTCATTTGCATAGGTGCTTCTTAATGTGTTTGAGGTTTTTATTTCTAATAACGTGTAACTATCTAATAGCTCACCGAGTAAAAGTGGTAAATATGCGTTTGGGTTTCGTGCCGTGGCTTTTCGGTCGTTTGGGGAGATTTGCTTTATTAATAAATGATGCGTTCGGGACATTGCCTTCCTCTTTGTACGCCGAACGCGTAATCGACTTTTTCTTACTAATTATTCCGTTTACTATACAAACCGAGCGGACAATACCTGCGAAGCAGCGTCAACAAAATGTAGAACTTTGATAATAACTCGCTAGGTATCTAGGTAGTAAACCACAAAAAGTTGAAAAAGGGTTAGACATATAGACATCCACAAAAAATTATATAATTGCTTGTAATGTAGGTAAGTTATTGTCGTAGAAATTCAATATTTGATTGAGTGTTTTTTTATGACTCTTTTTTCTTATTGTTGATATGGATCATTGATTGACTTCTTTTTGCTTAAGAATATTGTATTATAGAATTGGCTAGGCGATTTGCTAGAATATTGAAATTTATTTGGAAGCAATATTTATTTCATCAATAATATATTAATTTTTAGCGTCTTGCGAGCAATTTTTAGTTTTTTAAAGTTTTTCATAAATTATATTACATATTTCTCATTTGGCTATTTTATTTTGAACACTTTTAATATTTACTTACGTAGACTTTTTTTCGTTTTGCTAAGATACATTTCCCTTTCTTTCATTTCCGGCCAGTCACGCGTCGACGCTCTCGTTTTCTTGCAATGTTGATATTGTGGTCTTCAAGGGTGAGTGTTTAGCCGACTTAGGAGACTAGTGTCTGACGAATTTGGTAGTAGCACCTCATGCTGCTTCTTGATTGTCCTAGGGCACGCGCTGGACATATGGCACTAGAACTATAATTTAATTTTTATTAACCAGTTCATTAGCGCTAAAGTTTATTGTTCTTACCATAACTTTAAAATAATCCAGAAAACTTTAAAAATTAGAAAAAAACTGGAAAAAAAAATACAAAAAATTTAAAACTGAAAAATTTATATCAATTTATCAATAAACTTACAGGTATTATTTTTATTTGATACTACAATCACATTTTGCACTACCAAGAATTTTTATTTATGCCAAAAAACAATTTTTTTTCTAATTTCGCGCCTAAAATATTATCATTCATTCACCATATGCAACACCACTTTATTTTCCTCAAAAAAGTCGTTATATTGCATACCATGCCATACATTACCCCTTGTCTTGAACATATAACTTAAGAAACGTCTTAAGACGTTTTTATACCCACCGGTATTGAACGCACCGATGCATACTGTCCGATGCTCACTGGAGGATGACAATGCATCGTAACGGTCGCGTGTCGTACTCGTGCACCTACCTAAAAACACATAGCACTTTAAGCGCCCAACGTGTGCCTGTGCCCTTTATCTTACGATAGCGAGGGAGACGCGTGCCCGCAATTAAATTCACTTCCTTACGTTGTTCGTTAGATTCAAAATTGTGCAGTCGGTAGAACGGCGCGGCGTGCAGTGGGGATGCAGGCGCAAAGTCAATGTGTTAAAGAATATCTTTCTGATAGTTTTAGTCGTGCGACGAACGTCTTGAGATTAAGACTGGTTTTGTGATAAACATTTACAACAATTTTATAAGTGCAACGTGGACATTTTACCTCGTGTGATATTATTTCGGGTGATTTAATAGTTAAATTAAGTAATTCTTTAAGAAACAGCATTGCAATAATTTCAAGGTTAGTAAAAAATTGTTTTTTATTAATTATTTTTGATATATTGAAGTTTAAATCAAAATTTTTTCTGGTATAGATGTAAATTTTTAAATTAAATGCTACAACTATTTGTTTATGCGTTTTTTTAATATATCGTAGTAAAAAAATGCAATTGAACAAAATATTTTAGTATTTAATGAATTATTCTTAATTAAGAAGTATTCCCAATAAATATTCCGCGTTATATGTTTCTGAATTTAATACTTATGATGATAAATTAAAAATATGCGCAAAATTAAAGATTCTCACATCATTACTGTCAAAGGGATCAATTATTGCACGCCTATTTGTATTCTGGACACATACAACAAGTTGCGATTGCAATGCAACGCCAAATCAATGAATGTACACTTGCAAAACACACGCACAGACAACACATAAACAAGCGGTGTGAAACAGTACGAAACAGTAAAATGTATTAATAGGTGTCATTCCTATGAACGCCCGAGTATTGCCCGTGCTTGTGAGCGTTAGCATTGAATGAAAATGAAAATAAAAAATAAAACAAAACGCGCGCGTGAGAATATAAAAAAAGCAGCAGTAGCAGCGGGCCTGCTTCGCCAGCCGGTGAGCGGCGTCGGCGGCGGCAGTGGTGGCCGGCGTGGATCGGAATCGAAAGCGCACGGCGCGACCCGGAAAAAATGCGCCGCGCGCGCTAAGTACTTTTTTTTATTCGAACGCGCGCGCGGCGGCCCTATTTTTTCCCGGCGCGCATTTTTTATTTTTATATTGGGCGCCCCGCGCCACCGCCGCCGCCCCCCGTCGACGGGCATCGTGTGTTTGGCGCTTACTCTGCCGTGCGTTTGTGAGCGTACGAGTGGAGGACACCTGTTGTGTTTCGCCGAGTGTGGGCCAAAACGATGGCTATTGATAGAAATCGATGCCGGCGCGTCTCTGCGATGATCATATGGAAATCGCAAGTTATATCAGGACCGTAACAAGTTAATTTACAAGGCACTTTATTTTTTCTTGTATTTAATTGCCTCTTTTACTAATGATCGTCCAATGGGAAGGAAATTCATTCATTAAACCCGAATAAATTGATGTCGATTCACGAACATTTGCCAAATAAGCAATTCCGGGAATTACGTACGAGTGAAATAGTGAGATGAGATGCAGATGACCAGACACTGACCGAAATCGTTGCGTCTTTGTTAAAATTGCCTTCGAAGACAAAGGAATTGCGAGTCAGTGGCGATGTCGACGGTGTCATTGCCGTCCGAAGGAGATTTATATCTGCGATTCTAGGGGCGCAACTTCTTGAGCGCACCAGAAACCAGATGCTCGAATTGACTTCCACGCTGCGGACCTGCAATTACATTAAATTACTATCCCCCGGACCTAAACATCGATTTAATAGAATTGAACGTCTAATTGCCGATGGGTCTAAATGCTCAATGCTCACTAAAACGGTTTTATTGCAAATGAATGCAATTTGATAGCTTTTACGATCACAAAACACGAAAAATTTTTTTTTGTTAAAACGTATAAAATTAATTATTTACGTATTTTAGATGATATATTAAAGAAAAAAGTAAATTTTATGTTTTATACTTGATTATCTTGCTGGAGTTGAGAGAAATAGTGGAAAGAATGATCTGAGCGTAGAACGAAACGTAGCGCGAAAAGCGAGCGAGTCCTAGTTGTAGTTCAGCGTGTTGCCACTCGAGGATGCCGGGGCGCCACGTGTCGGACGCCTTGGCTGCGTCGCGACGGCTGCTCATGCGTCCTGCGCCCCCACTCCGCACACCGTCGGACGCCGCTAGTGTGCCACAAGACGGGCATTCATGACCATGTCCCCTAAGTGTGTTGATTCCTACCGCATTATGTGTGTGCGCCTTTCATAAAATATCTAAGAAAATTTAAACTCTTAACATAAGGTAAGCCAAACACTGCTTCATCCAAGACAAAATCCTTTTTTATTTATTTTTATTTTTTTAAATAACCACCCGAAAAATCTCTCTTTTTATTTACAACCAAAACACAATTAAATAAGATTTTATTTTTTGCTTCCCAACAAAAAATAAATAAATTATGTTCGCCGTTTTCAAATAAAACAAAAGTGATGCGAAAATAAAACTGGTTGAAGTGAAATTGAAGTTTCTCCGTGCGAGCGTAAAATTAAAGGACAAGTGTGGGACTTAGACGCCGGCTCGCAAGCGCCTGAAACACGTTTTCATAGTTCGGCTCTCTGAAGTTCAAGTGTGCGCATCTGACAACATTTTAAATAAAACATAAACATAATCTGGTGAAAATAGATTCTTTTTAAATTGTCAAGCCACTCTTCACGTTAAACCGGCGGTAAATGATTTACATCAGAAGATATAAGAGGATAAATCCAAAAAACAGTATGTATTTCAAATTTTCGAGAATTTAAGTTTTGAGAAATAAAAATAAAAGTCGAGATTTGAAAAAATTAAAATTTTGCTTTTAAATATTTTTTATTGAGGTTTGTGAGATTTTAAAGTCAAAAAATGAAAATTTGATAAATTTGCTTTTTGGAAATATAAGTTGTGCGGGCAAGTGCTCGAGCGTCTCGCGAGTGAGCGTGCGAAGGCGCCGGGCAAAGGAAGTGGTGGGAGCAAAGTGGTGGGGCACGGGCGGTCAGCTCCGCAGCGCAGCGCTGGTGGCAAATCTTAAAAAATCTTCGAGACGACTTAAAAATCAACTTAATTATCCTCCCCCCACTTGCGGCGCGCCGGCAGGCGGCGGAGGCGTGGCGTGGGTGGTGGGGAGGCCGGCGGCCGTCGTGCACTTGCCGCGGAGCGACGCGACGCCGGCGCCGCGCCGACGTTAGGCGCGCGTACGACGAACGTCTTCCCAGTCAGTCGTCGGCGGCGGCACGCGTCCTCCGCTCACACACGCGCTCGCTCGCTCGCACTCGCTCCTTCTCTGCCGGCAGCGTGCGCGTGCACGGGTGGCGGGCGCGACGCGCGAGGCACGGCGCCGTCTTACCTCGAGACGCCTTCACACTCCTCCGGCATCCTTCGTGGCGGCCAGCGGTGCGCGCACACCCTCACACCCGCCAGCGCCAGCGCGAAAGCGAAGAGCGCGCACGCCGCGCGCACCACACAGTTCAGTGCCGAGACGTCGCGACGACGGTCCTAGGACGCCTTCACGACGCGCCGGCGACCACCCCTCGCAGGAGAGTGCTACGCACGAGCGTCGTCGTCAGTCGACTTGGGACTTCAACTCCGCCGGACTTGTTCATCCTTGCGAGCGCGCGCGAGAGTTGGACTTTGACTTTTCGCCGCGCGCTTCGACTTGGAACTTCGTCTGAACGCAGTGCTGCGATACAAAAAATAAAACTAAACCAACAAGAAAACATTCAGTGAACTTTTGTTTTTCAAATATAACCGCTATATTTAATAACCAACCATTTAACCAGTTAATAAATTAAACTTAAATGTACGAGAACACTTAGTGAAAATTAACTATAATCACAGTTTGAACTGAACACGAGTTTTAAACACAGTTTGCTACATGGACGAATAATACTGGAGTGGAAAAACTATCTTCTTCATCACCAACTATTATTATCCTCCTTTAAACAAAAAATCACTCTGCTGCTCATGGATATTTTTTATTTTTGTTTATGCGAGTGTCCGAAGGTAATTTATTGCTTATTAATCTTAGTTAATATTGTGCCAACGGTGATTGAAAATTTTACGCGACCGCACTTTTGCCAACCACCAACTTCAACTGAAGCTCACGCATCGGAATTGCATGAAACTCACCGAACTAAACCCTGCAGATTATTTTAAAACTTGTTTTATTCTTTTGTAAAAACAAGTCGGACTTGTTCTCTTTCACAAAGCCTATACAAAGCAACGTAATTCATGTGTTTGTGTGAATAAAATGAAAGAAGGGTTTCGCGCGCTAACGGTTTCTTACATTCGAGTAAACAAAAATATACGATGTTGTAAAATTGGTATTTTATTCGTGTGTTATTACTACTACATAGTTGGGTTTTGCATCAGAATATTCGGCGCGTTAGTTTTACCAGTTTTGCTAGTTTCGACCAGCATCGTTTTCGGCTACGTATAATTTATGCTCTCAAAGGGAATTTATGGTATTGTGCACCGTGCAACGAACTCGCTGTGCGCGGCTGCCCGAAACGAAATTCGCCAATCTCTACATGCGGCGGCGGCGGCTGCAGCGGCAGACACACGCACATCGCGTGTCCCTCTCGTGCCGCTCTCGATTCTCTCGAGTTTCGGAACGTTCAAAATGTTTCAATAATGCACTCCGGCGCGGCGGCGTTGCACGCGGCAAAACATGTCTGCCCCCCTGGTTTGTTCGTTGTTTTCGGCCGTCGCCGTCGCCAACAATTCGTACATTATTTCGTACGCATTGGTGCGCCCTCCGCGGCCGCGATGCGTGTTTTGCACTTTCATCATGCTGGTGCGTTTCGTTTTATTTCATTTTCGCAATTTGCAAATTCGCTTTTCGCTCGCCTCCAACGCACCGGCGTATTCTCATATTTCCTGCCTGTGTATAGTTAGTGCTCCCAGTACGTCGATGCGTAGTATTTTTTTAATACCAGCGCCGCGCTGTAATAACGACCGACGCACCGCGCGCGCTCAGAGTTTTTTTTTTTGCGCGCGTTTGCTGTTCGCCCGCGCTCTGCTGTCCCGAAAAAATGTAACAAAAATTTAATTTCGAAATTTCCCATCCAGCGCGCACACACAACACACAAACGGTTAGAAAATAAACGCCGCGCGTAATATTTACCGGTTTTATGTTTTTCTGTTTTCGCATCGTTTTGCCCTCCTTTCAGTTTGGGAGTTTATTTTGCGTTTTCGAAATGTTACCCAAAACCGGTTTGATCACGACGTATATTTTCATACAGTAAACAGACTAATGTGACTCATGTGTGGCTTAAAAAGGGGGAACGCATCTATCGGAGGGTACTAAAAGCTTACCGTACCTCGAAAGCTCCTGGTACCCTCGTTGTATAATAAGTTGCCTATGTTATACTCTTGCAAACAAGTTTAAAACTCGGTGTTTGTAATGTTTGAAGAGTAGCCTAGGATAAAAGTTCAATAAATTTTCGAAAAAATTATTTTTGGGGATTCTGGACGTTACTCATTCTCCACTCGTGGTGTGAGCGTCCCGCCCCATGGTTTTGATGTGTTGGCGGTGGCGGCGCACGCAATGCACACGCTCCAGTCAGCGCAGACTGTAGTCAAGGCAGCATTTGGCGGTGGCAGGCGGAACGTTTTTTTTACACTCGCGGACCCACGCGTTTGTTTTGTTGCGCGTCCTGGCTCGCGGCGGCATCAGTTTCCACGAGGGCAGTTGGCGGCGGACGCGCTGCGAGAAGAGAGAGATTTACTGTTTGTTTCGGCGAACTTTGCGATAACATAAACTAACTGTGCCGACGCGCGGCGCAAAGCGTAAAAATGTTTAAAAACATGCGCAGAGCTGCAGCCTCACCACTAAACCAACTAGAAAAAAAAATGTGCACAAATATTACGTAAAATGCATGTGCACCCCCATAAGCCACCAAACGACAGGCTCAAACAGAAATGAAGCACATCGAAAAGATGCGCAAGTTGCACATATGTAAAATACGATGGAAAAATGCAAAAAAATGAAATATTGGAAAACAATGCGTTTACGCACGCAAAAGAATTAAATCCTTTCGAATTATTTACGAGTGGATTTTACAATCGCGCGTTCAATCGTGCACAACATAATTTTGAAAGATTTTTTTTCCCAATACTGATACTATAAGTCATGCAAATTAATCAAAACATTCGTAAAAAGATTGAATGTAAATAACAAACATAATAAATACAGCGCAACGTAGCGCAATTAATAATTTAATTGCATAATTGTCGCCAGCGCGTAACAGTCCGCGATAATTTGCAGAAATGTAGAAAATATCGGGTGTATATTTATATTATTACGAAGTTAAACACGCTCACCATGAAGGCAACACGCCAATCACCCCCGCCGCCGCTACCCAATTGAGATATCAATGAAAACGAAAATGAAATTTGTAAATTAAATTGCGCGATGCGAATAAATAGCGCAAACATTCACATCTACGCACTTGGAGCGCGGTAATTGTGTGCCGTACGTGCGGCATGAATGAATGAATGGCGTGAGGGTAGGTCAGTGTCAAATATGTGTGAATATTAATGTAATTGAAACTGATATTGTGTTTAATAATTAACCTGGTTATTGGCGCGGTTGTTCGGTCGACGCCACTCGGCGATTAAATTTTTAGCGGTCGCGCTCGCACATATGCAGGGGGGCGGGCATGCCGATTGAGTCCGGCAATAAACAAACACTCGATTTATATATAATAATCATATAACCGACCGAACCACCGCCGCGGTATTTATTCATATAATCATATATTAACGCATTTTGTACGAATTCATTTTCGAAATGTATAAATTTATACAATTTATACAAAACACTGGGATGTTTGTATAATTTCATTATGATTTGTGTTGCGTTACAAAACCACCGCCACCGCCACCAGCCACCCGACGACACGCCAGCGTGCATCGCGCCGAAAATAATGATAAAATAATTTATTTTAAATCGGTTTCGAAATTGAATTAATTACTTGTCGATTTAATTCGGTTAGTATTTGAAACTAATTTATATGTATATTTTCAAAAAGCCACCTACTCAATCATATCAATTTTTGTTTTATTTAGTTGTTCTTTCTGGTCAGTCCAGAGGCGTGTTGTTGGTTGCCTACGTTGAAAGCGCATATCGCTGGACAATTACAACAATTCTTTGATAATTACACGGATATCGGGCGGTAATACTGTCAGTCAATTAGCGTATAATAGCCGAGTGGATGTGTGAGTGAATATTTGCATTGTGTGCGTGCCAACCGCTGCCCGCTAGCTGTAACTGCCGCCCCCTTCCTAGGCATATCGCGCTACATTCACTCCATGCACATATATACAGCGTGCAATGATTTCGAAAGCCAATATGGAGGCGGGGGACGGCATTGCACTGTATACATCGACAAACCCGTCACACTACGCACTGTTAATAGATTATGCACTAATGTATTTTGCTAAACCTAAACACATGCGATATCAATCGGCAGCGGTAGTGGCGGCGGCGGCGGCGTGCATCAATGACACACAATATTGTACACGAGCGCGCAAGCATGACGGAGAGAGATAGACGCGGTGAGAGTGAGAGTGTGGAGGCGGTGTGTGGGTGGTCGGGTGGCAGGGTGGCAACGTACATAATTTGGTCACTAGTTTACACATTATGGTTAATTGCGGTCGGCCGCAAACGACTGTTCATTAAACGTCACTGCACGCCGCTGTTGCCGCCCCCGCGTTTGCACGGTTAGCGAAAGTTGTTGCTTCCGTACACATGTGATGCATTGTCACGTGTTTCTCATATATTGGAAAGATTATGTAAATAACGTCATTTATTACCTATAATAAATTCATAATGTTGATGTGTGTGTGTGGCTAGGTACAGTGCGCGCACGTGGCGTTAGTTGCAATTACCGGTGACCATTTCCGCGTACCGGAAATCGCCAAACGTCATGCGTCCGAACGTTCAACTCACGCACACAATTTTTCGCTTCTTCCATGCGTCGAAATTTGTTACTTTCACGTCCGAATAAATCGATATGCAGCTGTCGCTAACAATTATTATAAATATTTCATTCCTCTTACACCGTATAAAATGTGAATAAAAAACGTGGAAAAATATTTGAATCAAAAACTTTAAACTCAAAGTCCGAAAGCATTTATAGCCCATTTTTCTGGCTGCAGCGAAATATAAAAATAAATCAAAAAGCAATTAAATGTCATACTCATTTGTCCATCAAGCAGAGTGAGTGACGAACGCGCATCAACTCTCGCTGGCATCAGCGCTCTCTGGCAGGGCACTTGAAAAAATTAATTGTAACTGTAACTCAACGGGGAGAGAGAGTGTGCAAACGGTTTTCGCGTTTTTTTTTTATTTTGCGCTAGGCTCTGGATGGGCGGCGCTGGCGGCACATCATCGTCAAAAGTCAACAAGTCACTCGCGCACTGATTCAACCATGAACCACGCAATCAAATAATCCAATAAAATAGCATTAAATGACGACCTTAATTTCACTACAAAATATCGCGCGTTTTCCAACTTGAATTTTTTTTTTCCTATGCGTAGAAAACTATTTATTATTATTGCTTGTGGCACTTACTAAACGATAATTATTTGTTATTATTTAACGTAAAATGCGGGTTATTGGAGAAATCTTTAAAGGAAGGTTGAAAAAATTGCATGCCAATGTTTCGTAACAAAACTCGAAGCAGTTTTGAAATATTAAAGCCCAAAGGAGACGTCAACTGGAGTTTCTTCTCTTAAAAATCAAATTATCACATTTTATTTTGATTTTTTCCGTATTTAAAATATTTTATAATACGATCCTGTAACTTAAAAGCATACCAAACACTTATTTAATATTCTTGGTGCGTTTCTGTCAACCTATTAGTCTGTTTCTGGTGCAACTTTATATCTCCACGCCGCACATGCCCCCATATTCTATTTCTGGATGTGTTTTATGTCATTACAGCAATGTTTCGATTTCGATAAAGCAAACGACATGGTTCTTAAGTAATTTTATACATTATCACATCATATCACTTCTGTTTCTATTTTTATTTCCGACGCAAACACGTGACACTTCGTGTGAAACGGAAAAAAGCGATTGGAACGCCAGTAGGCGTCTTGACAGCGCAAGATTAGGTTACAAATATTGTAATTCACTTGTGTGATGATATTTTATTAACGATTATGTTTTGTTTTGCTTGCAGACTACGTAAATGGACTATAACTTGCTCCCAACTTCCCTCCCTTCCAAACGGTAAGTGATTTCATTTCTGTACTCAATAAATTAAGAGTAGCTGTGACTGATTTTGGTGAGTGTTTGTTAAGGTTAGTACTAGTGTGACTATTTTCATACAGATGGCGCTCACGCGTATCTGGAGCAATGTTTGGGTAGGCGGGTGCGTGTTTATATACACACGATCGCGATATTGCCGATATCCTCATTCGACGCGCTTCGAAAACGGCAACACGCTAATTGATTTAAAGCACTTAACGAACCCTAACCGCTTTCGATCTGTGCGCGCTCGCAAACGTTTCCGCGTGTGCCCCCCGCGCCGGTCGAAACGGAAAGTGCAAACATCGAATGCCGAACGGCGCGAGATGGGTCGATGACAATATCGAATCGTCTGGCAAATTAGCGAATTAATGCGCTCGTTATAAGATTACCTGCATTGCGTGCGTATTTGGTTTATCGCCTATATACACTTCTACGCATGCACAAACAATTGACAATTTTGAGTTCAATTAAATTGCTTTAACTTAAACTTTTATTGGAGGTATTTTAAAAGAGAAGAGTCATGTCTTATTGGTGTAATACACCTGTTCGCATCAAAGGGAACGCGTTTCTTATTGGAGGCGCACCTGTTCCGTGACGAGGCGGAGTTTTCGTGCGACTAAAATAAAACGTGCGCGAGTTAAGACGCCGAACGTAACAAGTGGCTACGCGCTGAGAACTTGGCCACTCCTTGAGGAAATTACAGTTTTCTTTTTACTTCCATCTTCCACCAATCAAAAAGCATAGAATTATATTATGATAAAATTGCTTTGACGTGTCAAAAAGATCGTTATGAAAATTACGTTTGTTGAATAAAATAACAATAGACTTGTAAAGTACGAGAACGAGTCGCGTCGGTCATAGGCCGCCTGTCGGTCGCCGGAATGCTACTTACAGGACATTATGTCCTGATAATAATGTCTCCAGCGTAGCGTGTCTCCTCTTTTTTTGCTTACGCCAACTGCGCGCGAGCACTGCTTGCAAGTACAAACGAACGATGAACACACAGCGCATAGAAAGTAGAAAACATAATAATGTCGGTTTGTAATACTTTGGCAAATCTAATGAGTAATGACTACATTTGTGTGCGCTGTGTACCGGTACTTACAATAAAAAAAGCACTAAAAATAACAGGAAGCCGAATGTAAGCCAAAGCCACATCTCACACAATCGATCTGGATCTCATCTCGTGAGAGTAATTTATTTATTGTTAGAATAATACGCCACACAAAACACACAAAAAAAGAAACTAATTAGGTAATTAAAACATCTGATAGAATACGAAATTAAAATTGCTAATAATAAAAAAAAGAAACTCATCAAATATTTAGTCAGGACGGGATTCGACGGGACGCTTCAAACGGAAAGAATAAAAGAGGATATTATTCAAACAGTGAGCGTGGAAAACTCAAATTAATTAGCGCCATTGATGCCGACCAGACGCGTTTGTTTAAATTCTCTCTTGAAGCCAGTCGGCGAGAGCGATTCGCGGATCTTATTTCGCGTCGCGAGCCGGCCAATAAGAACGCCGCGCGCCGGAAGTGCGGAGGAGTGTTTCGGACGCGGCTCACCTTCTTTTGTTTACACTTTGTGCACTTTGGCTCGTTGCCTCGCTGTGCGCTGTTATTTTTTTTTTTATTCTGGCACAATAAAAGCGAATAAAAGCCGACGATCACGACATCCGGATGGAGTTGATTATAATTTCAGCTTGTTGCTAGAGATGGATTTCGAAATTGTACATTGAATATATGCCCACTTACGAAATGTTTTCGTATCTGACCATTAACAATCCAATTACATGCTTATTTCCTAACTAATATTATGTATGCAAATGTTTTTGTATGTTTGTGCTGCTTTCAAGCAAATACCACTCAACCAATTTTGATAAAATTTACTGGAGATAGTTTAGACTTTGGAAAAGATAATAGGCTACTTTTGTCGTGAAAATATTGCTGGAAGGGTGTACAATAAGGGATGAAAGTCAATATGTATTTTATTCACAGTAATAGTTGTATAATCTAGAGGGCGCTTAAGTGCTTCATGAGCATTTCTCGTTTCTCCAAATTAAAATTAAGTATTTTTTGAATAAGATGGCATAATAATAGATACGTCCAAGAAACAAAAAGTAATTAATTTTTTGAATAATAAATCCTGATCTGTTTAAATTGTAGTATAAAGAGCACGATCGACATTATTTTGCAATCGATGATTTAACAGGTGATCATTAAGTGGAATTATAATACTCAAGTCCACATTCGTGGCACATGCTGCTCCTAGCCTTGACAGCATCCTGTTTTCGAGCGAGCTCCTCTCGCGCAATTATATTTCGATAGCGTCGTTGCTGTGTGTGAATTACTTGTTGCTCTCGGTGACAAGTAAGAAATTATCATTAGCGTGCGCCGTTATAATAATCAACTGGATCGGAAGTTTTCAACATGTAGACAGTGTTTTTTTTTTGTATTATTTGTTGTTGCTCACCAATGCGACATTAGTGGAATTTCATATTTCATTCAATTCTGTTTGCATATTTTTTTGTGTGTCATATAGGTAATAAGCACACGGAAATTAGGTGAACAACAATAAGATGGCAAATGTTGGCAAAATCGGGCGATATGAGACTGCCTAGAATAATGCTGCTCGAGTATTGTTCGTTTATCGCGTCGTGAGCACGCCAGCACAAAGTAAAGGGGGTAAAACACATCTGCCGACTTTGCGGCACGGCGCGCACCCCTTGAAAGAAAGAAATTACCACCTGGCGGTTCTCTGATGTGCGCGCCACGGTGCGCAAACAAGAAGGGCAGGACGATGACGACGTCGCTTGACGAAAGAAGGGAGTCTAATCTACCACTGCACATATGTGTGTGTGTTAGTTATCCTCTACCTCTACGTTAATTTGGCTCACCTCTAGTGTAACGCTTAGAACCATACGGAACAATTTATGACAGCAATTTTTATTTATTACATTTACATATACCTTACATCTGGAGTCACCTTGTTTCGGAATGCACTCACGCAACAAATGATACAACAACATATGTTCGATATTTTTTGCGAAAATTTGCCTTAAATAAGTGCCTTAAATAAGTCTACATCGTTCAAAAACTGATCGATCTTTATCGATCACTGAACATCTTGTGTTGTGTGTGTCGTCTACTTTCAGTAGCGCCTATTGATGTCATTTTAAAGGCACTTAAGAAGTCGTTGTGGTTTGTTATTATCTGTGGGTGGCGTGAACCCTGATGCAATATCTTCAGGTAAAAGCAAACAAAACATAAAAAAGAGCATTCAAGGCAAACCTTTTATCAAAACTACGCATTGCCCACAAATTAAACTTCTTTACAATACGAGAACAAACAAACAAACCGAGAATTAAGATTGATCTGCTCATAGGCAAGAAAATGTGCAATCGACAACTTGACATATGATACTTTTTGCATCTGCAAAAACATAATATTCGATTTCGTTTTACGGTCAAATAGTTTTCTTTTTGGTCGAGCGTACTTTAATCCAATTTACTTCAGAGCGGTCAAACAATACCTGCATTCGATCTGGGGATATGCGGTCGAGAGCGGATGTTTATCTCGCATGCGTTCTGACGACAAGTATTGTTGCATAATTTAAGCGATAATTAACTTAGGTTTGACCGGTGCGCACTGGCGTCCAGCGAGGAAAAACGAGGACACATACACACACGCAGGTTTTCTATTCAATGGCGGTGATGGAGAGCTGGTTTCAAGTCCGATGACTTTATACCGTGCATCCTGCGGAATGCCGCGAATTCTTTGGACCGCATCACCTCGGCTCACTTGATGATACGTTTCGTACGCCAAAGCGTAGCGGATATCCTTTCCGCGTTTATATCCGCGACGATTTACTTCCACTATGATTTCATGGTAAAAATATCATCAAGTTTAGTCGTGTGACTATGACTAAATATCAACTCAAGTTAATCTCTATGACTATAATGATGTGATTAAATTAAAAACTTTTTTATTGGTTTCTGACACCTTGTATGACTTGCATGCGACTGGTTGGAGGATGGTAAAATGCTGAAGCGCGACGAGAATGGCATGTAAATATTTTGTCAACTCGAAAATTGCCTTTTTGCATTTAAATTAATCGTTTAATCGAAACCTCGGCGCCGCCACCACCGAGGTTTGTCGTTTGGAGAGCACCCCGGTGGTGCGCGAGAATTTTCAATAATTCAGAATTGCGTCGGGCTCCGGCCGCATTCGACACGTTCAGTTCTTGCTAAATAATTAGCGCATTCGCGTAAAACTGCCCCTGTGTCTCGTATGCCAGTCGGTCATCAATTTCGGAGGCACATGAAAATCGCATTCGGTATACGCTATTGGCATGAGGCGAAATTTATTGCCCTAGGTCTGGAAATTAAAGCAAGCCTCGAAAAGCCAAAATCAAACATTCCCGCTTTGTATGACCCAGAAGTCATGAAAAGTCCCCCTTTCTGTAATACAGAAACATGTGCGCAGTTAAGATCGAGGGACGCATATGTGACGTCGCTTAGTAGTAAACGTAGTAAGTTATACGTCTCGAAGATGACGTAACAGACTTGATATCGTTAGTACCTTTTGCTTGAGCCTTCGTAGTGCCAGGTGTTGAGTTCCCAACCGGAGGGGAATGCACCTTGAGACATTTAAAAAGGTTTTTAAAGGTCGATTTCATTCAAAAAGACGTCTAAACTTAACAAGAGGACTTGCTCAACACCAGAAAGGTGCTACTATTAAAAATAAGGTCCTACACAATTTAATAACAATTTTTCTCACTAAATTATTTAAAAAAATCGTTTTTTGCGTTTGTTTACAAATCGACATGTGTCTCGGTACCATCTCTCGAATTTAGGGAGAGCGTCACACCGCTGGTTACAAGTTTAGTGGGTATGATTTGCGAAATGCGAGTAATATGTATTTTACGTATCAATGGACGAGTGGCAGCAGTGCACAAACACAATCTAGACGCGTGGC